TAAGCTTGCCTGGCACTGCCTTTCCGGTACCATCAGGCTTCAAGCCAGAGTCTTAAGTTATGTACAACACAAGTGGCTCAAGATGGGAATATACTTTCCTTCCCTGCTAGGGGTTGGGAATTTCTCTTCCCTTCTCATTCCCCTTACATCACTCCTATTTCCATTTCTCTGCTTCTCTTCTGTCCCTAACTCTAGAATGGGATTTGTGAAGTCCAAGAAACTGAGAAAATAGCCAAGGACCCAGTTTGTCTTATTGACCATTCCTGGGAATTAATAACATGGGAGGTTCTTAATAGCTATTTACTTAATGGAAATAAACATGCAATAATGAATTCACAAATTCATGTCAAATGAAGACTTAGACCTTTTCCTGGACCCTGAATCCCCTACCCTATCCTACTTTTTATCATGCACAGAATCTGATGATCAAATTCTAGGGCAGTCTCAGTGTGGTTTCCCAGATTGTCTTGATTTTGGTTCTTCTTCTTTTTTTTTTTTTTTGTACCTATACCATGAACCATGCCACCAGCCCTTTTTTTGTGATAGGTTTTTTCAAGATAGGGTCTCATGAACTATTTGCTTATGCTAGCTTTGAATCACAATCATCCTGATCTCTGTCTCCTGAGTAGCTAGGATTACAGGAACCACCAGCACCCGGCATGACTTTGTTCTTTATGCACAAAAGACCACTGTTAGCACATCTGTTCTTTCATCTGAGTTTTAAGAGAAAAAGAAACTGAAACAGGGACAAACTTCACTTTTCACCTATTTCTCAGAAGGGACAGAATCAATATGAAAATTTATAAGAGGGTGTGTGTGTGCAGAGGGTACACACCTATGCTCCTGTGCAGTGGTATGGACAGTTGTGAGGTTGTGTTTTTTTCTATAGACAGACACTCTGACTAGGAAGCACAATGATTGACAGTATAGTCCGACTAACTCCTACCAAAGATAGAAGGTCAAAGAAGGACAGCTTCAAAAGAAGCATATTCCACATTTCACTGCTCCTTCTCAAAATATCCTATGGACTGGGGAGGGTAGAGCCAGGGTGGAATACTGCCACACTGTTGGAGCACAACTATAGGAACCCAGATGATATCAAATAGTGAATTATACATGCAATTGGGGGCCACGAGAGACTAGGGCAGAAAAAAGTATTGGAAGAAATAATGACTGAAATTTTTTCTTACTTTGATGAAAGACAGAAATTTGCAGATCTAATATTTACCAGGCAGAATAAACACAAAAGGTCCATGTTGATGCACATCATAGTCAAATTGTTAAAAGTCAGAGATAAAGAACAAATCTTGAAAGTAGCAAGAGAAAAATGATATATTACATCTCATAGAATAATGATCTGATTAACAGTCAACTTCTCAATAGAAACCATGAGGACAGAAGAGGATGGCAAAACATCTTTTAAATGCTGAAAGAATAAAAGAAGCAAAACTTGTCAACTCAGAATTCTATATCTAATGGGAATACCATTCAAATATTAAGGCAAAATAACAATTTTTGTCAGATACAATAAAAGTATAAGAATTTGTGGTCAATGTACCTGCATTGTAAGTTTAAACACTAAAGGACATTCTTTTAGTCAAAGGGAAATATTAACAGATGGAAACTCTGGTCCTTGGGAAAGAGTGAACACCAAAAATAACAAATATCTGGGTAGATTAGCACTATTTCTGTGGCCAATATCATTTTTTTTTTTTTTTTTTGGCAGTACTGGGGACTGAACTCACGACTTTGTGTTTATGATGCAGGCACTTTACAATGTGAAACACTCCATCAGCCCTTTTTGCTCTGGTTATTTTGGAGGTAGAGTTTCACTTTTTGACCAGGCCAGCCTGGACCACAATCCTCCTATTTTAAGCTTTCTGCTGTTGTTGGGATGACAGGTATAGGTCACCACACCCAGCTTTTTTTCAGCTGAGATGGGATTTCACAAACTTTTTGGCTTAGGTTGGCCTGAAATCACAATCTTCCAGATCTCAGCCTCTTGAATAGATTGAGAAGACAGGCATTCACACCGTGCCCAGCTATTGATTGAGACTGGGTCTCAGAAATGTTCTGCCCTGGCTGAACAGCGAACTTCCTGATCTCAGCCTCCCAAGAAGTTAGAATTATAGGTGCGAGCCCATGACACCTGACTTTCCTCTTAATGTCTTTTTAAATTATTTGTTTAAAACTAAAGTCATATCATCTTGGGAAATCTATTACTGGTAAAAGTATTACATAAAACATGAGCTCTAAGTTCTCATAGGCTTCCTACTCTATAACATATATTTTATGGGATGGTTAGAATCTGGAACTGCCCTTTCCAGCTATTCTAGGCTATTCCCACTACTGCAAGTTTTCTTCAAGGACAGATTGGGTAGGAGTGAGGATGGAATCTTTAAAAACTAACAAAAGGGAAGATCAAAAATAGTACATATAATATATATGGTTGAGGAGGAGCATCATTGCATGGAAGGAAAACAGTCTGAGATTAAGTGCTCTCATAGTAAATGCTAGATTTCCAGAAACAGGATTTTGAATCCACCTTAGATTGTGGCAGACCTGAGAAGAAGAGAAATGGTACATACTCCACTCTTTTGACAAGAATGACTCTGCCTTAGGTAGGATTTGGCTCCTATAATATTTCATCTCTGGCTAGTACCAGGAGTGAACAAGAGGTGATGGAATTTGGGAAATACTAAGGAGGGAATTTGCAGATACAGTTTCAAGTTGTGCTCATGAGAAGAGGAAGTCAATGACTGAGATGGAGGATGTATCACCAACATGAATCATGACTCCCTAAAGACACTAAGGATCATAAAGTTACTGGGTGGAGAGGACTGACTGTTCCAGGTGCTGAAATCCTTGGTAAACACTGAGTGCCCTGGAATTTGGTAAAAGATAGGTATAAGGAGAGAAGAAGGGTGTAGCTGGTGTTGTAAGCCTCAAAAGAGAAGAATGTTGGCATGTGAGTGGAAAATAATGACCCCAAAGCAGCAAGAAGAGTAAGGAGACCATTTCTTTGGACACTTCTAAGGTCTGTACTATCCTCCTATCCTTCCTTCCTTTCTTCCTTCCTCCCTCCCTTCCCTTTCTTATCTCTCTTTCTCTTCTTCCCCCTCCTCTTCCTTCTTCTTTGATGTACTGAGTTTTGAACTCAGGGCCAGCCCTTTTTGCTTTAGTTTATTTTTTCAGGTAGGGTCTTGTGCTTTTGCTGGTACCAGCCTTAGAACAGCAATTCTCCTTGCTCCACCTCCCACGCAGCTGCAATTATAGGCAAAAAAACATCATATAGGCCCTCCATTCTTTATCTTATTGAATAGAGCTAACTTACCTAGGCCTATGCAGAGATCTGAAAATTCTTTATTTCTTTTTCTTCCTCATTGCTTATATATAATAACCAAATGCTTAATATTGCCCCAGTCCATCCCTGAGTTACATATATGTGTGAGAAAGGATAGGTTGTCAGAGGTTCTTGTATTTAGGGTTGTGGCAGAGTTAGACAGAATGGATATACTTGCCTCAAAGTTCTGATCAGATCATGGGATATAGTTGTTTTAGTGCTTAGGACACTGCAGGCATGTATACAGCACCCCAATTCCTGTCATAGGTTTAGTTTTTAGTTCATTTAAGGAAGACTTTTAAATGTCTTTTTTCAAGTAAACATCCCCTTCTACAAATTCCACTTTTTGTTCTGGCAAGTATTTGGTAGCTTCTTCAGAGACAGAGAACTCCAGGTGAATTTCACCAGGTCCAGGACCTCAACACACAAATGACATTGACCAATGATGGGAGGGAAATGGAGATTGTCTATCTGCCTATCAGAAATTAAAAAATAGGTTTTACCTACAGGCCACCTCTCTGGAGTGCTATGTTGAGAAGGAGTCTGAGGCTTAGACTATTAAACGTGTGCTTGGAATGGGAGTCCTGCGGTTGATTGGTGAAGTTGGCAGTGTGAATGAGACCACACGCTCAAGAATACTATCCCTAGCTGGTGTGCTTGCAGAGGGGAACTTAACGACTGGTCCCCAGAAAGTGAGGGACTCCTACAGGGATATCAAGGAGTCAGGCTTCTCTGTGTTACTGAATCTCAGGAGCTGCCTGTCAGGTCTTGATCAGGTCCTAATCGAAGAGTTAGGAACAACACTGAGTGTGAGAGTGAGTAAAGCCTGTTTTATCACTGCTGATGTTTGCTAAATTCCTGACCAGAGCTGGTTGGCCAGTTGAGATAGGCCTGAGCATTGCAGCCATTCTTCCAAGTCAGCCTAGCTACCTTGACCTGCTCCAATGGGTAAGAAACAGAAGGAAGACACGGGGTCATTTGAGCTACACGGATTTCTCCTGTACCAACAGAAGTCATAGGGATATGAACTGTGAACATCAGACCCCCTTCCCCACCAATGCTTCTAAACGCCAACAGAAATCTTGGGTCCCATTTTGCTCTTTAAGAATCGTCAACTCCTCCCTTACCTCAATGAAAAGAGCCTTTCATCAAAGAAGGCTGTGTACATGGCAAGCCTGGGGTATTACATAGTGGTGACCTGAATTTCAATCTGGAAAAGAGAAATTCTGATTTCGAGCTTCACCTGTCAGGTGGAGGAAGAAATATTTACCTCCTGCAAGCAGGAGAGTTTGGGATAGTCTTGCTGGGTGACAGCAGGTTGCTCTTGAGTGTGAACAGGGGTACAGGGTGGTCCTCATTGGCTTTTTTTGTATGGTGGAGGGTGAAGAGTGGTGAATGGACGGCTCTGGGGCATGGTTAAGTCCTTCAGGGGTCCCCGAGAAGTATCCACGAGGACAAGCGGGAGCAACCTCTTTCCCACCTTCCACTCTCCAATTCCCGGGAACTCTTGCCCCGGGATGAGTGAAGAAACCCCCAGTGAGTAAGAAGGTCCCGGAGACAGCCCCATGTGTGGTGCCACAGGGACGCGCGTGCCGGGCACTGCTCGGCCCCTTCCAAAACCCTGGGGTCTGCGGTGGCAGGAAACGTCCCCCCAACCTCAGCTGGTCACCTCGGGAGGAGGAGCCAGGTGGGTCGTCGCAGCTCCAGGAAGGGCTGCCGGGCTCGGGTTTCCCGGGAGAAGGGGCGCTGCGGACCAGGGGCTGAGGAGACGAGCGGGGCAGAGTCGGGTTCCGGAGGGTGGAGAGTTGGCGCCCACAGAAGGCCTGCCGGGCGGACGGCCGGACTGACGGACGGGCGGGCAGTCAGCTCCCTCCCCCCCCACCCACCCTCGGCTTCCTGCGGAGGCCGCGGCCGCCATGTTGTTGTGGGACTGAGGCGGCGCCGGCAGCCGAGCGGCCGTGACAGGCTGCGCAACAGGTTCGCAGCCGGCGGCCTGACGACCTCCCGGTGGCGGCGGCGGCGGCGGCCGCGGCGGCGCAGAGCAGGGTCTCCCGGCGCCCGCTGGGCCCGCGCTGAGGAAGCGCCGAGTCGCGCCGTGACGTGCGGGAGGCGCAGCGGGGCCGCCAGGTGGGTGAAGCCGCGTCGTCCGGGTGCCGCGGGGCGCAGGGCAGGTGCGGGCGGGCACCCCAAGAGGCTCCGCGGGCCGGGCTGAGGCGGCGGCGGCGCGGGGAAGGCGGGCGCGGGTCCCCGGGCTCCGTGCTAGGCCCCTGGCGGGCTCGGCCGCGCCGGGCGGAAACCCGCGGCCCCGGTTCCTGCCCCCCCGGCTTGGCCGGGGTGGACGCCGAGGGGGACCTGGACTCCGCCGCCTTGGGTGGCAAGTGGCGGACGCTGCGGGGGGTGGGGGGAGGGGCAACAGGGCGACGCGGACCCCTGTGGCTTTGGAGTGACGGCAGAAGAGAGCCTTGGGGCCCGCGCGTCCCCCCGGTTTAGTCCGGCCGCATTGGTTTTCTTTCCCGGTCGTGGTGGGGGCCGAATGTCAGGCGAGCCCCCTCCCGGTGCGACAGGAAGGTGGCCGGAGTCACTGGAGGACAGTGGGCGGACAGCTTGGTGTCCCTGCTCGCGGTCGGCCAAAGTTGGGTCAGGTTCAGCGTTGTCGACCCCCAGGGCATATAGAAAACACTGTGAGAAGTAAAATCCTGAAACCAGAATGAACTTGATTGCTTATTAAAAAAAGACAAAACAACAAAAACCCGGACGCCTGCATGGTGCGTCGGGAGCCGGCAAGCCGAGGCTGCAGCTGCAGACCTTGTTTGCACGGGCAAAGATTTATCGTTTATTGATCAGTGTGTCGCTGGATGATTGCGGATGGCCAAGTACTTTTCGTTTGAAACTTGTGCTCCTAATGCGTTAGGGATATTTTTGATAGCGCCACCCACTTCATGATCGCAATTAAGGTTAGCACCACGATTACTGCTTTACGACACGCTTCTGGTCTGCTTTACTAGAGTTTACTTGCGTGCTCAGAGGTAGACAAGGGGCGACTTGAAATTTCGTGGTGTTAGTCAGCTTAATTTAGGCAGCGTAGACTGTAGGTTAAGCTTCTTCAGCCTCTCAAAGAAATCAGTTGCCTCTCTTCCCTCTGAGAGTTTGCTGTATTGCTAATCATTTATAAAACCTAAAAGCAACCGAGAAATAACACAGAAAACTTTGATATGAATTGACGATGGAGTCCTGCAAAATTTGAAGGGAGCAACTCCAGTGTACTCACTTTGAGATTTTGGGGCTGTGTCTCTGATTGCCTTGTCATTTTAAAAGTGAATAAAATGGATGTATTTCATGTTTTTAAAGAATTGGGGCAGGGGGCGGCGGGACATGTGCATTGCTGCTGTTTGGATCTAACAAAAAAGCATCCTAGCTTTATTTATTTATTGTTTAGAGACAGTGTCTAGGTGTGTAGCCCCTGCTGGCCTGGAACTCACAGTCTTCTTGGCTCAGCCTTCCAGATGTTGGGATTACAGGGTTTTGGGATTATAGGATGCTGACATTACAGACATGTACCACCGTGCCTGCTGCAAAAGCTTGCATTTTTTTTTTTAACCCTAATGCAGCCATACGTATTCTCTCTGTTCGCTTTTATAATGAAAGTTAGACCGTTTCGCAAAATCTTGGCCTGTATTAAATTATTGAACAGGGAGATACAGTTGTTAGTTTAACTCGTTTCAAGGCTCTTGATTTTTCCTGGATGTGAGGAAATATGCTAGGCACATTCTGGGGATTTGATTAATTTTTTTTAATTGCATTTCCACAAAAATAGTATACACCTATCATCGAAACTCAGCAGCTTTCAAGATTTTCTTTACTCATCTTTTTTCTTTTTTCTACTTATGCCTTTTAGTAATTTTATCTTATAGTTAGTCTCTCTTTTTTAAAGTGGAAATTTTCTTATATAACCTTAGGGTTTTTTTTTTTTTTTTTTTTTTAAATGGTACTGGGGTTTGAACTTAGGGCCTCACTTACTAGGCAGGTGCTCTGCTCTTGAGCCACACCTCCGTCCTTTTCTGTGTGTGTGTGTGAGTGTGTGTGTTGGGCATTGAAGCAAGGGCTTTGCACATGCTAAGCACACATTTTAGCATGGAGCTGCACCCCCAAGCACAGGATTTTTAGTTTTAATTTTATGGGTTTACAAATTTTTATCTTCTTAGTAAGAAAACTCAACTTTCTTAAGTATTTGAGTGTATCTGTCATGGTTGTAGAGCCCTTACTAATATTAGGCCCTACACTAAGTGTTTTATGTAATTATTTAAGGCTCACAAAGACCCCAGGAGTAATTATTGTTCACCTGTCAAACAGATCAGTGAAATGTTATCTTGGAGATAATAAGTACTAGACCTAAGTTTCGAACCAAGACCATTTTAACTTCAGCACCTGTGCCCTTATCTTGTACATGCATCTTGGTTCAGGAAAAAAAAAAAGATTATATAAGCACTCAATAATTATTTTTGAGTGAATGAAAGTACATACTAGTATGTTGATAAGTAGTATTTTTTTCTCCTGGTACTAGGGATCGAACCCAGGGCCTGTGCATGCCAGTGAGGAGGAGCCAGGTGGGTTATTGCAGCTCCAGGAAGGGCTGCTGGCCTCCCCTGGAGGAGAGAGGAGAGTCCTCCCACTGACCTGCCTCCCTAGCCATTGGTTTTTTGAGATGTGGTCTTGCTGTATAACCTGGACTAGCTTCGAACTTGTGATCCTCGTGCTTACACCTCTGAAGTGCTGGGATTTATAGATGTGTGCCAACACACTGTACAAAACATTTTTATATACTGTGTTTGTAAAACATGTATATTATGTTGTAGAAATGATTCACAATGAACTAATGACATTACTAAAATGTGCTAAATTTGTTATCGTCTAATAGTTCATGTATATATATTTTAAAATCCTTTATTTGTGGGAATTGACTTTGAAGAAAGGCTGAAAAGGGAAAAACATTTTGTGTGTGCTAATTGTTAAAGGCACATTCTAGTGTGAGGTAGAAAAATAAGAATGTTTAGAATTGTGTGGTCTCATAGATCTAAAGCTGAACATGCATCAGAAGAAACACTGCATGTGCACCTGGTTCATTTTTTGCATCTGTGCCATCCCACAGCTGTGGAGTACTAAGTTTGAGTTTTCTTGTGTAAAGTGTGCATATAAGTATTCTTGAGAAAGAGGAACTAAACTGGCCTTAAAGGATGTGAAAGCAGAGAGGAAGTGGGGGAGGAAGGGAGGAAACTGAGCAGAAATAGGGCAGTGAACAGATCAAGAAATAATTTATCTTCATGACTCTCAGAGGGCAGCATATTTGATTTACAGAATGCATAGTATTATTTTGAGAGACTCAATTAAACAATTTCACAGCTACTCAGGACACTGAATAATTTACTTACTGTGGAGCTATTCAGCAGTGATTATGGTAGACATTTAGGGGTCTTCTACCAGATGGTAGACATTTAACTTGTTTTATTTAACCAGCTGTTTTATTTTGTAGATCTGTTTCTTGGTGAATGAATATTCATTTTAGAAAAAGTCTTCGTGACTTAATAAAAATTCCATGTATTTTTATAAGACTATAGGCATTTAGGTTAGACCTCCTGCCTCTAGCTTCATCACCAAATAGCTGTATGACCTTGGGTAAGTTTCTTTAGTTCTCTAAGTTTCTGTTTCTTCATCTGTAAAATGGGGATGGTAATAGTACTCTTCATATAGTGCAGTATGTAGTATAAAGTGCTTAGGATAGTGTTGCTTGTATAAGTGTCCATAAATGTTACATCATTCCAAGTTGCTTCAGTGAGAAATTTCAGACTAATTTAGCTTAATCTCATTTATTTATTTATTTGGTCTGGAAAAGAAGTCAGCTTTTTTTTTTTTGTCTGTAATTTTTAATCTAATATTAAACTAATTCATATAAGAAGGCTGGAAAATAGAGTAGAAGAACTGGCCCACATTCTCATCCTCAATAAGAATCGGCTCATTTAGTCCCTTTTATTCCTACTGCTTTTGGTGATTGCTTCAAAGTCTTTGAATTCAGGTGCTTAAATTATAGTACTTTTCTTTGTGAGGAAGACTTAAGCTAGAGGTTGATTGGGAAGAATAGTGTCAAATTGCAGAGCTCCAAATAGGAGCCAACAGGCCTTTTCACTAGTTATTAGGAGGACTGTAGTAACCTGGCTTTGCCATTTTGTTTTTGTTAAAGCACACTGGCATGTTTAGACACTACTCACCACTTTACCACCCCTCCTTCCTCAGTCTTCCATCTAACATGCCTTTGTGGTACTTGTCCATTGACAGCTTAAACATAGGAATTGGACAGGTCAAGTTAATAAAACTTACAATTTATGTAATATTTAGTGGCATTAATTCTTAGGGATTATAAGTGAGCGCTCTAGAGATTAACGAAATTTGCTGAGAATGATGTGTATGGACTGGGAATGCAAATATAGCTTTCTTCCTCCAAAGCATTTTCATTAAGTCCTGAAAACCCACATTGTAGAAGAGAAACCTGCTTGTCACTAGAAGCATTTTAAGTTTTCCTCTGCTAAAGCTCTAGTGAAATACTTCTAACTTGTTTTTATTTTGCTGTAGAGACTTGTATTGGAAGGCTTTCCCTGATTTCCCTTCAGCCCCTCTGTCTGGTCTTCACTCCAGTGATTCTTCTTGGAGTTGTTCCCTCCTTCTTCCAGCATTCTGGTTCCTACCTTGAGGGTTCCACTGGGTTCTACAGAGCTGAGGATCTTGGATGGTTGGGATGGAAATAGCCATTTGGATTAGATATGGGTAACCCCAAATCTTTTCTGATACTACTCTCTAGTACATATAAAAGATGATGGTAATCCCATCCTGAAAGACCACATGCTGTAGCTCACTCTGAAATCCATTTTCTGTTTTGTTCACCTCAGTAGTTTGACTTTTCCTCATCTTTATTTTTCTAGGGGCATCACTGAGCAGGAAAAAGAAAGCCATTCCACAGCTTTTTCATCAACTATTTTCCCTTTATTCACAATCACTATCTTTCTTTTTAAAAAGTTGAAACCAACAGAAGTTGGTACTCATAATTCCTGATATGGAATCCATCCTGTCATTTAACAAGTATCGAATGTTTACTTGCAGGAATGGTCCAAACATTGATCTTATATGTAGCCAGTGAACAGAATACCAGCCCCCCCAAGGCCCTTAAATTCAAGAAAGGAGAGGAGAGATGATAACATGTCTAGAAAGTTAGAATTTGCTAAGGGCCATGTAACTATGCCAGCCTTCCGAATTACCAAGGAACTCAAGACTGAAGAAGCTTCACAGTGCACTTTTATGAGTAAAATGGTAGCCTTAATGTAAATTAAGAAATTTAATAACATTTTAGGATACTATATTTAAGATAAATGTGCATTATTTTATTACTATTATTTGGTTTACACCCAGCAGAACTCTGAATATTTCTTTTTTCTAGTCACCAGAAAGAAAATGCACAATGTGAGCATAGAGCAGAGATTTGTCAAATGGTTTAAAATAGATACATCAATTTGATTTTTCCTAGAAGTGCTGTATTTTTTGTTTCAAAATCCTATTAACTTTTTATGTACAGTATTTTGTGTTGTGATGAACAATAGATAGTCTATGCAGAAAATTGGAAATCTATAAGAAAATTTAAGGAAGAAATCACTAGTAGTCATTCATATTACTCAGAGATAATCATTGTTAATATTTTGGTAGATCTCCTTCCAGAACTTTTTCTTTGCAGATAATGGAATTATGAAACTTCCTTTAATCACCACCCTTGTACTTATAATCATTATCTTTTATTACTTCTCTAACATTAAGGTAGTTTATAATTTTTTTGTTCAAAACTGCTGTAACTATTTGTTGTTCACATCTATGAGTATTTCGTTAGAATAAATTCCTACTAATAGACATTGGACTAAAAATTATGGATCCTTCTTTAAGGTCTTGATAAAAATTACCATTATTCAGAAAAATTAATCAGTATCAAAGTGTAAGTGAAACCAATCCTGTTTCCCCATATCTTTGGAAACACTGTCTTAAAAAAAATCTGCTAATTTAGAGGCTAGATGTGATAGCACGCACCTATACTCCCAACTACTCTGGAGAAGAAGGAAAAGATAGGAGGATCAGGAAGAGGTAGGAGGATCGTTTTCAGGTGATTTAGGGCAAAAGCTGGAGCTCCTATCTGAAAAACAAATTAAAGCAAAAAGGCTGGGAGCAAGGCTCAAGTGATAGAGTGCTTGTGCAAGGCCCTGGGTTAAAACCCCAGTACTGCCCAGAAAACCAAACAAATCTGCTAATTTAATAATGACTAGTTTGTTTTAGTTTTTCTTTCTCTCTATATTTTTTTTCATGTTCTTGAAAAATGTTGTTCTCTGCTTCTTATTTCATTGGCATGTTCATCTCTTTAAGAATTCTTTATATATGAAGAACAGTACCTTTCCATATAGGTGTAAATTGTTTCCCAAGTTTGTCTCTTAGTTTTGTTTATGGACTTAAAATGATAATAATAGTAGCTAACAGTTACAGTACTTCCTGCATAAAATGTATTCTTAGTGTTTTACATTTACTACCTCATTTAGTTTTTACAACTTTCCCGATGAGGTAGTGCTGTGATTAACCCTATCTACGAAGTCCTTTGACATTGTCTTGTAAATTCTTAAGTTTTTTTCTCAGTGCCTCTTCCCATTCCTGTTCTTAGTTCCTAAAACTTTTCCGTAGCTTGACACCTATTGGTTAGCCATTTATTATTCAGTGTAGGAGTCATTTACTCTAGGATTGCTGTCTAATAACCTTCTAGTCCTTAATGCAAGGTGAGGTGCCCCTCGTCTGTCCTTTTGTTGTACCTATAGTACTTATATTGAATTCCAGCTTTTGGTCTTACTCTCCCTTTGCATTCCCTTCTCTTGTACATCTGATGACTCAGTAAATAATTGGTGATTTGAATTAAAGATGCTCATGGTTGATGCTGGCGATGTTAAGAATCAAATCAACCTTCCCAGTATATGAAATAGAGAAACTTAGATTGAGAAAGTAAACATTGGAACTGGTCTTTGAAGGTCAGTGGGGGTGCTGGGAGAAGGAGGGGCCCAGAGACAGAAGTGGTAATTTCCCATTCAAGGAACAGTGAGTTGTTTAGAAAGATTTTGAGAATTATTAACTTTGCTTCTGGGAAAGCCTGAGGAATAAATCCCTCTTTGACTTCAGTGTGTGTGTGTGTGTGTATGTGTGTGTTTTTGTTTTGTTGAGATGGGGATCTTTCTTTCTGTGTTGCCCACATTGACTTCAAACTCCTGAGCTCAAGTGATATCCCACCTCAGCTTTCTGGGTAGCTAGGATTACAGGTGTGCACCATCACACCGGTCTAAACACAGTATATATATTTTTATATTGTTCAGAATGTTTGATTCTTTCTTCTAGATTCTGTATATCCACACCTATAAAACAGGCTTAAATTTTTTTTTCTGATTTCCTTCTTTTACTAATGTAATGAGAGAAGTTGGAGAGTCCTGACATCTTGATAAGATTCTGAAAAGTTCAGGGAAATTTGGTGAATTGGTGGGCAGGTCTACTGGAAGCTTTTGCTAGAAGTCCCAGAGAACATGCCCTGAGCTTTGTCAGATTCCATTCATACTTTTCCCAGACTGTAAACACATTTGATTATACTTTAGCTCGATCTCTCCAGCCTTGATCATACTTCTGATTCTATTCTTCAGCTTTGATAAGAGACATTCTTCTCTTAATTTACTAGCTTGATTTTGAGATACACTGATTTCTGGTCTTGAATGAGAATAAGAGAGCCCTGCGGGATATTGACAATATAATTTATTTTTTCATTTAATGTAAATATTTTTCCATTCCTTTTCCCTTTTAAATTTAACTTTCTCATTATGTAGCTTAAAACTTTTTCTTTATGAAAGTAGTACATATCAATTAGTAAACTAGAAAAAATAAGGAGAATAAAGTCATTCCAAGTCCACCATCTCTGCTGAGATTTTCTGTGGTAATATTTATCCATGAGGTTATTCTGAATATTAAACATATGTTTAATGTAACTATTTCATAATAAATGCAACAATAATAATCAGGATTGTCTTTTGGTTAGGTTTATTGAGGGCTGCCGCTCTGGATTGTTTAGAGTGAGGGAGTGGGCCAGGGTCTCTGTATCTTTCATTGCTCTCTCTCTCTCTTCTCTTTTTGCTGGAACTGAGGTTCGAACTCAGGGCTTTGGTCTTGCAAAGCAGGAGCTTTACGTCTTGAGCCACACCTCCAGTCCATTTTGCTGATTATTTTGGAGATGGGGGTATCTTGAACTATTTGCCTGGCTGGCCTTGAACCTTGATTTTCTGAAACTCAGCCTCCCAAGTAGCTAGGATTATAGGTGTGAGCCACTGGTGCCCGGCTTCATATCTTTTTTTTTTTTTAATAATTAAAATTCAGTTTCAGAATTTGTTTTTAACGTTCCCAAGGGGCCTGTGAAAATGTTTAGTGAGTTTTCCTTTAAAGTGTGGTTTATCTTTGGCCAGCATCACAGTTGGCGAATGACTGTAGACTTGAGACCCTACTAGGATTGCCCTTATAGTGGTGATATCAGTGTTTGTTAACAAGATAACCACGATAGCAAGTAAAGACCTGTAGTGTAGGGCTTGGCACTTAATAAGTATCCAGTGATTGTTGGGTGCTATTATTATTTTCATAATGATAAAGTACACACTTAAACATTTTAAGTCATAAGAGCACTTGCAGTTTCAATGTTGTGTGGTCCAATTGAACTAATTATTTTTAAACAGCTTTGTTGAGTCTAATTTACATATGTGAATTTGATTTTAGGTGGCAGCATAATGCTTGGTTCAGTATATTCCACCATTGTTAGATATTCTGTTCCAACATCTTTATACTGCTTTTGCCAAAAAGCACTGACTTCTTACTTGGGCTCAGGAGTAAACTAAAGACAGGACAAAACCTTAGCATTCGGCCTCTATTTTGTGTTTGTCTTTGCTCTAAGCCATTCACTTTGCACTTACTTTGCAATCATCTTGAGTTCCAGAAAAGACAGAACTTGTCAATAACATCTTTATGATAAAGGACTGAAAGTACCTCTAAGAAACAGCAGAGATCCACAAGACAGACCACTTGCCAGGTAACAATGACTTGTGTATCCTGCCTGATAAGGACAGCAATAAAAACTTCTCTGGAACCTTTCCCAAAATAAGGACTGAGATAATGACCCCCTGGAACACCTGTGACCTGGACTGTTTATGCATACCTTTTTCCCTCACCCTAATTCTTTGTTTATAGCTAAGGCTCAAGCTCATGTCTCTGCCTCAAAGACGACTAAAGATCGGTAAAGTACTTGCTTTGCCTCTTCTCATGCCGTGTCCCCAGCCATGTGATAATCTCCTTTCTCTACCCTTTACCATGTCTCTTTATTTGGCATATAGGGGCTAGGGGCCAGACTTGACATATGGAATTCAAGAATTTGGGTCTGGGGTCCAAAACTCTGGTTTTCATGTCTATATTATTTCCACTTTTTTCCTTGTGATTGCTAAGGCTGCTGTGAATAACTTTGTAAATAAGGCATTTCTCATAGTTGGTAATGCAATTTCCTACGACAGGCTCCTAGAAGTAAAATTATTGACTTATAGGATATGAATGTTGGTAGGATTCTTAATTTATGTTTTCAAGTTGCCTTCTGAAAAGTAATATCATTTATACTCTTGTGGGTTGTGTGTACCAACACCTCATTCTTCTCCTGTTTGCTAGCC